CGCGCCCAGCCTCTTTTCTGACCATTTTAAAATGTAAAAAACATTCTTAGCTCCCAGGCTTTACCAAAACAGGCAATGAGCTATATTAGCCATAGTTTACCAATCTGATATATATTAAAGACTCTCAATTAAAATACAAGTGACACATGACTTAAAATTGTATGTGTATAAATATATACATTAATATTATACATATACATATTTTTTAAACAAACCAGAAACAGTTTACAGTGTCTATTAAATATCTTAACAGAAGGGGAGTTACATCTATGTTTCTGCATGGTTTACCCTTGCAAACTATGACTTTACTTTTTTTAGTTACAGAAAGACTTTCCATTGTCCTAAGGGTCCAAAAAAAAGATTCTTAAATCCAAATTCAAAGTCTTTCACTGTGGGGTATATTTTCTTATTTATACTTTTCTTTGTTTTCTAAAATTAATTTTATAATATTATAATAGAGGGGAACTTTAGAAAGAAAAGATGAAAAATTAATAAATTATTATGAAAAAAGAAAATTACATGATTCAAAATGAAATACCATTAATAATACTATTACTGAAAGAAATACAAATTCAAATACAATTCAATTTTTTATCTAAAAATATTGGCAAAGTTTTGTTTGTTTGTTTGTTTTGAGACAGTCTTGCTCCATTGCCCAGGTTAGAGTACAGTGGCATCATCATAGCTCATTGCAACCTCAAACTTGTGGGCTCAAGCCATCCTCCTGCCTCAGCCTCCCGAGTAGCTAGGACTTACAGGCACACACCACCAAACTTGGTTAATTTTTTAAATTTTTTGTAGAGACAGGGTCATCCTATTTTGCTCAGGCTGGTCTCAAACTCCTGACCTCAAGCAGTCCTCCCGCCTCAGCCTCCCAGAATGGTAGGATTACAGGCGTGAGCCACTGTGAGATTTTTTTTTTAGGTGAAAATACTCAAAGCTACTAAGGGAGCAATGTGACACTCTCAGTCACTTTCTTGTCCGCTGGTGGAACACGAATTGGTAAATGGTTTCTAGAAAGTAATTTTCCAAACTATCAAGAGTCTTAAACTTCACAAACCTAATATAAGAAAAATGAGTTTCAACGGTTAGAAAATGTAATCTTTAAAAAGATATAATTCACAAAAAATGTCATACCCTTTAATTTGGTAATCTGATTTCTAGGTATATGTCTTGAGAAAATAATCTGAGCGTGGCCAAAGATTTATATACAAGGGTATTTTTGCAGCATTATAATTATTTGTTATAGTAAGTCTAAATAGCCAACCATAAAGTAATTGCTAAATAAAGTATGTTACATTCGTTATGGTAGAATATTTAACAGCTATTAAAAGTAGCATTTTAGATTCCACTTACACGAGGTATCTAAAGTAGTCAAATTCATAGAAATAGACAGTAGAATGGTAGTTGCCAGGGAAGGGAGTAAGTGGGAGGTTGTTGAATGAGTATAAAGTTTCAGTTCTGCAAGATGAAAAATGCTTGGAGATTTGTTTATGTTAGTATTTGTGTATTAGTATATGTATATTTATGTATATTCACAAGGTGACACTACTGAACTGTATACTTAAAAATCACTAAGATGGTAAATTTTATGTTGGTTTTTTTTTTTACCACAATTAAAAATGTTTAAAAATTTAAAAAAAGTAACATTTATTCAGATTATTTAATAATGCTTATACAAGGTTAAAGGTGGAATAAATAGAAATTATATGGTTTCATTCCAATTTTGTAATAAATAGCTACACTCATCAGTATTATAGCAAGAGAGTGAGGAATTTTTTCTTTTTCATATTCTTTTTTTTCCCCCAAATTTTTTTCCTCCGAAATGATCATAATGTTTTTATAATCAGGAAAAAAAAATCATAAGGAAAAAAACTAAAGTTTTTTACCAAGTCACCAAAAACTTTTCAGACAACCTTACTTTCATTCCTTTCAGGCTGCTTAATTTCTAGCTTCTAATTAAAAAGCTGCCCTATAGTTCTGAAACCAGTTTTTTACATTTTCTGCCATTTGTCATTCACTTGCAAGTGCTGAAATCTTTCCTTCTTCAAGAACTAATTGAAAAAGAGGGAGAGTTTTCTCAAGCTGTAGCCTGTTGTACATGACTTAGGAAGATTCCCTTATCACTCCCATTTAACAGTGTGGCATTTATCTGAATACCATTATTATGCTGCATATATCCAAGTACCTAGATAACAAAACATATTGTGAACTTCAGTGATCTAAAGCAGGGGATCTCAAACTGGGGTCCATAGACAGAAATTATGGGGTTCTAGGACCATGGATGGGGGAAAAACTGTGTCTTCTATTTTTACTACCCTCTGACTTAAATTGAGCATTTCCTTCAATTATGAATGTAGGCAGAACCTGTTGATACTGTTAGATTCCCAGTACCTAGCACAATGCCCAGCAGAGATGTTGAGTAAATACTGTAGATGAAAAGAAAGAAGAGGTGGAAGAGGGATGTGAATATGTCAAGAGGAAAGGATATAAATACTTTCTTTCTACTCAGTCCTCTACCTTCATCAGTAATGGTATCGTCATAAAATAATCTTATCTCCTGGTTGCATAATACTTTAGTGTTTTAAACTATACCCTGTTTAATTTGTTCTCCAAAATAGTCTTGTGAGGTAGAAGGATAGATATATTCTGTTCACTTTAGACATAAGAAACTGGGCTCAGTGAAGCTAAGATTGCAGGTGGGCTCCACAGCTAGTAAGTGTCAGAGCTAAGAACAAACAACCCTTTGCACTCCGCCTTAGGTGCTCTTTCCCTTTATCAAATCACCCTTAAGATGACTGTCATGCGTCCGTTTTCAGTAAGATCTTCGAGAGTGTGGTCAGCAGGCAGCCAGATATTTTTGCAGGATTTACACTATGTTACAGAATGTACCACCTTGGCCCTCTGGGGCTGTGTTCACTTGCCCATGTGGGGTCAGCACTTTCGATGCAGCTACAGAGAGCCTTATTAAACTTCCTAACAATAGGGAAGAAAATGACTCCATTGTACCAGAAATATTCTTCCAGCTTTGAATTCTGTGAAGCTGCTTTCATATATTGGCTCTGCTACTCATTATATAAATGACCTTGTCTAGTTATTTAACTTCTTGGAGCCGTGGTTTCTTGATCTGTAAAATGGGGGTGACAAATACTTACCTGAAAGTTCTTGTAGAAAATAAATGAGATAGAAAATACATAAGAAAATGTCAAGTTCAGGGACCGGCCCATAATAGGTGCTAACTAAGTGAATTTCTAAAAATGCTTATGATTTCTTTCCAAATCAAATATGTTCAAGATTTCTAATTCTAATATGTAAGACATTGATACTGCCAGCCTCCTTTTTTCTACATAGTTACTGCATTCTCATCCAAGTAGCTATTTCTCTTAAAGAAATTTGAATTTATGGAGTAGAAAATTCAAGCTGAGCTTCAATTCTGATCCATTATATTAGCCCCCAGCGCAAATGAGAATTCACACTCCTTCCATTTGAAGCAATTTGAAATTTCACTCTTCTCATTTTCTCTTTTATGAGGCTAAAATGGCTTATTTCTATTTCAGTCCTGATCAATTTTATTTTGCATTGATTTTAACATTAATTTCATACCAACAATGACACAGCCATGAAAGATTAAAAAATAAGTAAACATTTAAAATATGTATTTCTACTGGCTACATTATTGTTT